GACGAGACAAGACAAAGTGTGATGATGCAAAACCTCGAAAGTTACGGCAACAAAACGTTCCACACGCCCAAGACCTCCAAACATTCCACGAACCCACCGACCACCGCCGTAAACGGCAGTGAGCGTCCCGTAAGAGGCCGAGTATTCTCGCAGTCACACTATATATAGTCCTAATAGTGCACGGCGCCCGAAGTCAACAAAAAGTGCAACCCGTTACCAGGCCTAGTAAAGGCCCAGGATGCCTGACAGTCACACACCTTAAACACTAATCCACATACATCGGTAGTGGGATCTCCCTCCAGGACATCCAAAGTTTTTTCAGTTTTTTTTTTGTTTTTTTTTTTTGAAGCACAACAGTCGACTTTGCTAGTGCCCGTCTTCCATATGCTCAGACCAAAGATTAATCTGAAGGAAATAGTAGTCAAAGACAGGTGGGTGCAGCATCTGAAACTTCCCAGGGATAGTCTGAGACAGATGCCATGTTTCCATGGAAGGAAGACACGACCAGCCAAATTTGCCGCGCCGCAATGGCCAATGGAGCACAGACAAATGCCTTCGACCAACAACTGGCTAATAGATCACACCCATCTGGAACAATAGGGACATGCCCTCCCCTGGCACAAATTCTGCCTGGGGGGGTTCCCTAGTCGTAGAATCAGGGAACCATCAACAATCAGGGTTCCCTATTCTTGCAATCACACCCACCTGGAACAATAGGGACATGCGCTCCCCTGGGGCAGTCCTCTTCTGGAGATGGGGGGATAGAATCTGGCGACAACTGGGAACAGAACTGAAACTGGAATGGGACTGGAAGGCACTCCTGCACTCCTGCTAGGGGCGTGGCACCCCCCCTAGAAACCTCCCACCTTCCCCTCCAATATTTTTTCCATGGGGAGGAGGGGGGTATATTTTGGGCCCGGTAAATATACCCCCGGTATATTTTGGGCCCTCACCACGCGATGGAGTGTGTGAGCGTGGAGGGGAAGGAAGTCTCTGACACAGTCCGTCAACTCCTGGAGATGGAAATTTTCTGACCCAACGGAACAAATCC